TTTTGGCAAGAAAAACAGTGGTAAGGAAATACCCCTCTTTGCAGAAAATAAAAGGTAACTAATACAGGCCTTGTTTTTCTGGTGAAAGAGGAATAAAACAAGTTAAATATTTAGAGTTAATACTACTGTTACACAAAGCTGTAGAGCAATTGCTTGCTGCCATTGTGGTGTAAAATAGTTTGCAATAAATGTGAATCCAGTCTCCAGAAAAATGCAGCTTTCTAGTGTCTAACACAAATCCCAGTATTGTCACAGTAGAAGAGTTTGAAGTCTTTCAGTACACAGCAAATAGAATATGTAGATTTATTAGACAACGCCTTCTTTGTACAGTATTGCATGGTGCTGTAAGCCCTCTCATATAATAGGAGATATGGAACAGCTCCATAACTCTTTGGGAGACATTTTTGTACTCAATTGCCAAGATGTAGTTAAAATTCCCACTGAAATATCCCATTTGTGTAAGAAAGAGATGAAGGTGGCGGGTCTGGGCAAATAATTACAAAGGGAAGATGAACACATCCATTAGAATCAAAAGTACCTAATTTTCATGGAGAACAGGCTGATACTTAATTGAAAAGAGACAAAACAGGTTATTTGTGGGTATACTACAACTGCTACAGACAAGGAAGTGAAAAGGCTCATGAACTTCATGGCAATCTGCGCTCCCAGCAAGAAAGCTCAAGTAACAAAGGCTCATTGATGTGAAAAGGGGGGAAGTTTTTAATAGAGGAATCTCAGGAGCCAGCCAAAGCAGCATTATCTTGTATTAAAAAAATCTGCAAATAATGAAATTCAGAGGAGAGAGAAGCCAAATTTCATCTTTGCTTGGGCCATGAAATTAGTACCAAATAAAAGGAGAAACACATGTAGAAAGGGCCAGAGACTAAATCATCCCAGCAATATTCTTCTTGGGATTTGTTGCTAAATAAAATACAGGGATTTATGTTCAGAAACACTGAGCAGGTTTGGCTTCCATTGAACTCAGGTGGAGCTATGGGTTGTTAGTACTTTTGAAAATTAATTCCCCAGAGCACACCTGAAGTTTTTATTCCAGATCTCACACTGCCCCTGCCCAAGCTACCTGGATACAAGCAGGGAAATCCTCATCATAGATCTTACCATACGAGGCATCCCAAACTGATGTTTGCACTTGTGGCTGTTACATAAAAAAGGAAGAAGTCAGATCAGCAGAAACTGCCTTTCTCATCCAGAAATAAAATCAATGAGGGAGATAATATGCCAGGCTTGGGTGAGACGAAGCAGTGCTGCTCAGAGTAGCAGAGCAAAGAGCAACTTCTAGACTGTTGGGTGAAACAAGTGCATTCATACAGGCATGAAGAACCACTAAGAAGCATATGAGGTACCATTTTGTCTCAATGCCATTTGGTTTGGGGGTGGAGTAACCTCATACATTCCTATTGCGGAAAAAAAGAAGTTGAAACTTCCATATGGATTTTTTTCTTGGCCTGGTTTATCCTTTTCTGGGGTGCAGATGCTGGCTGAGTGTAACAGAGACTGGGCTTTCCTTCTCACACGTTATGCCAAAGTATGTCTGAAACCAATACTAGTGTCTTAGAAGTAATTTGCAGGAGTTTTAAATATATCTTTGTGACTCCATAGGCTACACCGCCTTCCGGGTATAGTGCAAATCAGTATTTATGAAAAGCATTTTCAAAGTGGATCTTTGAACCTGCTGGACTACACGGTTTCTCTTGTGCCATTTTTGATCCATTGTGTAAATACAAATTTTGGCACGTGCACAACACTATAAACTGTATAATTGTTTTTATTAGAGTTCTGTGAGTTTGGAGGTACCTGTTCTTTAATTACACTTGGCAAGTTTCCAGGAAAACTCTTCTAAAATGCACTGCTTGCAAAGTCTTACTTGGGCCACCCACAACGATAGCTTTTATTTTTCTTCTATTAGTGATGGACATTTTTATATAATTTTGGTCTGCGTGTGTGACAGAGCCCCATGTCCTGAGCTGCCGCTTCCCCTTGTTCACTTCTCAGCCGCAGACTCTGTCGGGACACAGCGGCAGCAACTTGTGACATTTGGACCCTGGCCAAATGAACACCATCCGCCGAGGTCTGGGGTTGTCTTTTTCTGCTTTCTTGCTTTCCCCTCCCCCCTTTTAAAATTTCTGGTGACACTGGAAATGCAAGTCAGTTAATCTCTTCTTAAATCTTAGCATTAGCCTACAGCACTGACGGCGAGAGAAATGCAGAACATTGCTCCGTGCAGTTCCTATATGTGAGCCGTCAGCAGCCAACGTGGAGGTGGTTTTAGTTCCGCTCCCGAGCCCAAATCTGTTGTGGAGCAGCACAGAGCAAGCACAATAGCAACAAGTCAGCAGGATAGCTGGAACGCCATGCTCCATGCCAGAAAGTAGGATGTCCAGCTAGCACAAATAAATGTGTAGAACTAATCAAATTAGGATGGACATGCTGTGCAATACAGAGAAATGCATGTAAGCAGAAAATTGTGTTTAATATTTGTAATCAAAAGCATTTATTTGGGACTATGGCAGCCGAGTGCTACGTGCAAATTGGGTGAGGAAAAATGTAAACACTGTTTCTTTGATTTCATTGGAGGTCAGGGTACAGCAGGAATGCTGGATCAAACTCCTTTTCCAGTGGCTATGATTATAAAGCTATGTAAAATGAATTTGGAGGCTTATTGACAGAAAATATTACTGTAAATGGTGGTGAAAAACCTATTCCTCAGAGATTACTATTTATTTTATGGAGTTTGCCAGAATTTATAGGATGCAATCCGAAAACTATGTTTTTAGAGCTCATTTGAGGAAATAACTTCAGTCCTAACACCACATTTTGAGGCTTCTGTAGAAAGTAGAATTTAATAGAGAAACTGGGGAGACAGAGGAATGTTATTATGTGAACTTTCAGGCCTGCAAGGAACAGGAATTAATGCAGGAACCACACTAAGTCAAGCAGCAAATGACTCTGCTACTGATCCAGTTTCCATATCATCTGAAATGCAGTTATATGTAAGCAGGGTAGCCACTGACATGGTATAGCCCCTGCCATGTGTCGCTGAAGAATGCTGTTAGCCATGACGCAAAGCAACTTTATATTACAGTATCTCATATTGTAAACTGCACAGTTGTTAGATATGCAGAAATACGCTCTGTGTGTGCTTTGGGGAACACGCTGGACTCGCGTTCTCCATTCCTGAGAATATTGTAGGCAGCTTCAGGTTTCACAGAAATAAACAAAAAAATCCTCATTGTTTCTTTTTATGAGCACAGCCCTTCAGAATCTGGGGAAGCAGGAAAGGATATTGCAGAGGAGAGCATGGGCTCTTACCAGGCATCGCAGCCCCCGCTGGTGCTCCATAAACCTGCACAGGGAAGCGGGAGCAGCAGCAGAAGCTAATGGCCTTGGGGAGGGGAGCTGGCCAAGTGGCCTCAGGTGTGGCCTAACAAGAGCCTTAGGATGTGCCACGTCCCAGCTGTGCCATATAGGTAGCAGGGGGCTACCTATAGCAGGGACGAGCTCTCTGTGTGCCCCCTTCTTTCTGCACAAGAAGGATGCAATGAACCAATTTCTCAGATTTTGTAAACTGGCCCAACAGAGGAGCCATCATCATTTATTCCATCTGAAGGGACCAGGCCTCTTTAGCTGTGTAGTACCGAGTCAGTGTAAGCAACCCAGGAATAGCCGCACAAAGGTAATTGAGTGCCAAATTACCACAGCCCCCCGCGACACTTAATCTGTACGTGCCTTTCCACGAGGTATTTTTCAAGACACTCATTTTGCTGCACTAAAGGTTTTGTCATATTACAGTTGAGTAGCAGTGGCTGAACTCTGCAGGTGAATTATATACATTTACAAATTGCCTTGAGAATATTGAATAAAAATACGATGGGAAAGAAAAACCTCCTTTGCAATTGAGTTAAGCGTGGAACACAACCAGAATGACTCCACTTTGTAGCCTACGTCAACTTGGGAAAAAGAGTAGGTGAACTTGGTAGACCTTGGGAACTCTCAGCTCATTTTAAAGAGGATTGTTTGCATTTGTAAGGCGGTTTCTATGAAGTTTCACCTCATGGATTTTGGCTCAGCATCAGTCTAATCACCCCTTATCCCAACTGAAGCCAACGTGGAGTTACCAAATACAGAATCTGTTCTGATTGTCATTCTTATTTCCTCAATATAATGTGACTAAGTAGCCCTCTGTGCTCTTCTTTTTTCCCCCCATTTGAAATACTGCACTTCCAGTGGCCTAATCACAAGTCATATAAATATAGTATAGATTACATTATTCAGATTATTTACTAAATCAAATGTATTTGGAAAAATAATCTAGATTGAAAGATGATAACTGTCAGACAACAGACTTCTGTGATCACTCACTCCTCTCTCCTCAGTGGTCACAAATGTCTCTTCATGATAAATAATTTGCTCTGACAAAGCAGCCAAAACAAACATGATAGCATTTTTATTCAGGGCATATTTCTTCTGCATGCCTGTCAGCCGTATTACCAACAGTGTGAATTCTGGTGCGTGGCTGCAGCATCATAGCTTGGTTCTTGGGAAAAATGTCTGCAGAAATCCTTGAGGAAAGAATGAGGCAATATTAGAAAAAAATAAGTACTAAAATTAATCAATTTTCTGTGCTAAACTAGCAGGTGGGCACTGAAGAGCACCCTGCACTTTTGCACAAGGCAATATGCTTAGCAACTGCACAGCCAGGAGCAATCAGCCCGGAGCAGGGGGAGGAGAAGCCCTGATGGATCTCAGGTGATGCCACTGCCATATGATGATGGAAATCAAATGTTAACTCCCCACTGGTGTAAAGCAGCAAAAACCCAACCCGTCCTATTAAATACAGGAGAAACGCTAGCTTCCCTCTGCATCTCTCTGCCTTTGGGTTTCTTGTATCCATTTGTATCAGAGGTTGTCCTGTCTGTAGAAGGCAAATACAGCAACGGATACACACAAGGGAAGAAAAATGGAAGAAAATGATCTACTGAAAGCAGAACAAAACTGATCCTGTAAGTGTTAGCAGCCTCCAAACCAATAGCTCTGGGTGACTGCAGGAGAGCCCAGGGACAGTGCACAGGGGTTCTCGCTGATGGACCGCGTGCTAGGTCTGTGAGGGGAAGGAACAGAGAATGTGGAGCAGGCAGGGGAATGAAGGCCCAAGGGAGCCTTGTTTACTGCGTGACTTAGCGTGGAGCTTTATTTCTGCAGCCTTTGTATGGTAACTATGTTTGCAGATGGTAATGAGCTGCCTGCAGGACTCTCTGATGTTTATGACCATCACTGCTGTGATCTTGATTGACTCAGGGAGCGAAGTATGATGTTGTCTGGGCACGTCAACTGATCGATGTTGCTGCCTACAGGCCTAGAAAGGTTGGGGACCCCGGCCTGATGCCAACTCAAATTTGGACGTGTGTCATCTGTAGTCACGCAAAGCAGGATCACCTTTTTTTTCTTCTGCTTTGATCACACTCAGAAAATACAAATCCCCAGGGTGAAATTTCAGCTCTGCAGAAATCAACAGCAAAACTCCCCTCAGTGATGCTAGGTTTATGATGAACGTTGTTTGCTTTTAATCAATTCTTGTAATGGCTAGAAAGCAGTATTTACTTCCCTCACAGCAGATAAAATGTCAGATTTTGCAGTCAGGTAGTCTACTGAAAGTAGTTAGGGCTATTTGCTCAGGGTGTTGAAGGCTGATAGTAAAATTACAGCCCTATTGTTGGATATTTTTCTCCTGTTGTCTCCGATGCAGAGCATGTTTTATGTGTTTTGCTCCGCTGGGGCCCCAGCAAACTTGTAGCCAGCAACTTCTTTTGAATGTGCTCAGTAGGAGGTGACAGATGCACTATGACCGAAAGATCTTGAAACTTTATCATAATATATTTAGCAAGGTGATAACACAAAACTACTGAGAAGGAGAGGTGAAGGAGAAATTCCACACCTGGGAAGTCAGTTAATGTTTATAGATAGGAAATGCTTTAGAAAGGGGAACATCTCTCATCGGTCAGTGCAGCCCACTGCACCAGCCTCATAGTGCCAGGTCCTGCGGCCAAGGTGGGTGGCAGTTCCCTGGTGCCCCCACCTGGTGTGGGGCAACGAGGGCCTGAGCCCCACCCTGTGACCCTGCGTTCTCATGGTGTGACTTGGGAACGGGGAGAGGGGGAGTGAGATGGCACAGGGATGCGTGCCCTGCACACAGCTGGGTGCTGAGGGACACGCACCCAGAGCAGCAGGGGCGTTCTGCACCGCTCTGGTTCGTGAGAGTCCCTCCCGCCGGGGGGTCGCGGCCGCTCGGTGG